AAAGCAGTGTGTCTGTCCCACAATCCCCGGGGCTCCACCGGCTTTGAGCTGGTGTTAAAGACTCTGCCCCTCCACTGCCTCACACACGTGGACCTGTCAGCTGTCTGCAGAGGGCCTGCTGATTACCCGGCACTGGAACACCTCGCCAAAGTCCTGTCACAGGTGTGCATGCAAAAATCATGCAATGTCATTTATTGTCGAAAGATATAAGTGTGCAATCAGGTTAAGACTTTTGTTTTTTTGCAGGACGAGTGCTCTCTGACCCACTTCAGCCTGGCTGCAAATGGGCTGACAGACAGCAGCGTAGCTACCTTGGCGAGGTTTGTGTGTGAGGGCGTCATTTCTACGGCTCAGTTATTACTCATGTTATTAGGGCTTTGCCTTTGTTTAAATTGTCACTCATTACTGGCCTGTTGGACTTTTTATTATAATTTCACAGGTGCCTCTCGTCGTGTCCCACACTGGTGAGTCTGAATCTGTCAGGAAATCTGTCTGTTACATCAGCAGGACTTCACAACATCCTGGCGTCTGTCAGAGAGGCCCGTCGACCACTGACACTTCTAAACCTCAAAGGTATGCATATGTGTGAACTTAAGATCTGGACAGTTTGTCAGAATTGGTCCAGGATATCCGTCTTTGCTCTCAGGCCCTCAACAAGCTGGACCGACAGACCTTGAAGCAGAGCTGGGACAGGACTCAGTCACACGGACACTTTCTCGACCGAAACTCCAAGTGCCTCCTCTCTGCCACCTCCACTTGAGGGTTGCAGGTGTGTTCATAATAAATAATTAGTAATGAATTATTAATTTCATAATAATTCATAATAAAAGTGGTCATTTTAATAAACATTTTGTTTAATGAGGCTACACCAAAAAGAAACAAGATAAAAACAAAATAAAGTGACATGGTGTCCACCAACAGTCTGTTGATAGCTTGTGTTTTATGCATTTTTCTCTGCCTTATTTATACATGTAAAGCTCTGTATCTGTATAAAGAGTCTGTGTTAGTGTGTGAGAGGTTTTGTGTCACAATGGTCCTGTTTTGTAGGATTTGATAAAAAAAACCCCCAAACACAATTAAAGTAACCCACGATGCTATACGTTGACATCGTTCTTTCGCTGTAAGACTCAGCAGGCTATGGTGAATAATCACAGCGATTTTCAGGTCTCTTAAGAAATCTATCTAGGAGCTATGACAGTGTAAAGACACCCTGCATTTTTAAATGTGCGGCGACATTTGAATGAGGCGCGTACCAGCAGAGGGAGCCAACGCACCACAAATGGTACACAGCCACAGATGCGCTTTGTGCAATGTATTTGTGACATGCAGGAGTGTCCACAAAGAAATGTGGATAAGTTGAAAATCAAAAGCTAAAGAGCTCATTCTTGCACTGTTTTGATCAGAGCACTCGTGGGAATGTTCAAGTGTTGAGAATTTGTAATTATAAAGTGAATTAGGGAAAGATATTAGATACTGCCACTGGCTAGATTTCAACCCGGGTCTCTGGCTCCCAAAGCGCGTTCTCCATAATATATTTCAAGCGTTCACCACAACTGAGAGGTAAAAATTGCTGTTTCTTCGTGTTACAAAATGTTCTGTAACTCCAAAAGTACACGGGCTGTCGACATCATTCTTTCACTGTAACAATCAGCAGGCTTTAATAAAAATTTAGAAAAAATCAAGGCGGTTTTCAGGTCTCTAAAGAAAAATATATCTAGAAGATATGACGAGTTGAAAACGCCTCCGTTACAGAATTTCAGCTGTCATTTTCACTCAAGTCTCCATATACTTTGAATGTGGACATTTTTTTAACTGTTGCTTCGAGGCCATTTGCGAGAAAACGGCAACTCCTACAATAATGACAGTGCCCTTTGGTGAAAGGCAAGAAAAATACCTACGTTTTGATGTATAATTTGTGTTAATGAAGGCAAAACTGAGCGTTTGTTTGGACATGAAGAAAAGATTGAGAAAGCCACAATGCGTGGTGTGTTTGGCGGTCCATAGCAACCATAACAACCAATATCGATTGAGGGAAAAGTGATTTTCAGACAGCGGTAAAAGGCAGAGAGAACCCATCAATAGGCTCGCCTGTAGGCTTCTAAGCAAGCATAGCAGGTGAATTTCAGAGCCAGGGATTTTTAAAAAAAATTTTTTTAAGCCAAGCTTCAGACAAATGTCACCTCTTTCTGTGATAACTGAAAAGCAGAGTAGCAGACAGATAGTTACCAGACTTTCTGCACTTATCGTGCTGTTTTTGTAAGAATATGTAATGACACCATGAGTGAACGTACTAGATGAAAATCAAGATTATACAGTATTTCATCAACCAAATTTGAATTATTTTAAACGATGATTTCATTAATTAAGACAACAAACCCAACCAAGCTGACTTGTTAATCCATCTGTCCTTACCCCCACCTTTTTAAATGATGAATTATTATGATTGAAACCGCAGTTTTTGGAAAGCTGAGTGCAGTTTCACTCGCCACATCCAGACCTGATTACCGCCACACTTGCTGAATTAAGAACCCACTTAAATAGAACCTGTCTGAAAGTGAAGTAGGCTAAAAAGAAAATCCCAAAAAGCAACACATCGCGCGTCCCAATCGAAAGAAACAGCTGAGAAACAAAGCCAATGACATCTTGAAAGCCTTGAAAGGATTACAAAGCCAGTTCTAAGACTAAACAGCTTTTTGATCATTTTCTTTGAATAAATAATTCGTCACACCAACCAGAAGATGAAGATATGATGTCAAACAAAGCAGCTGAAATTTATTTAAGGTGCCAAAATGGCAGCCAACTAACTTAAAAACCAAATTGCTAATTAGGATTAGAGAGGCATTTTAATTATATGAGCAAAAGGAATTATGTAAATCATGCAAGAAGTGAAAATATAATAATAGTGTAATTTACGAGGACAAAATTGAATGATTTCACTAAAAGAAAAAAAAAAATGGAGCATTTTCCACCTTAGATTGAAATTGATAAATACCAATCATGCCCAGTGTAGGCACTGATAACAGCATACTGAGGTGTTGCAAGACAGACTTGATTGCTGCAGTCTGTTACAGAATTTGGCGTTCTGGAGCTAAAGCTGCCATTGATAAAAAGGTAGAACCTAGAAATATCCTTCAAAAAATGAACGATGCAAAATAAAACATGATGTCACTGGAAGTGTGACATGTATGGTGGACAAAAACAATTACTTATTGTACTTATTGTAATTACTTAATTATTACGTGTGATATGTTACGTATAATAAACCAACCAGGCACTGAAACATGCAAACGCTGAGAGTGTTTCTGTCAAGTCTGAATGAAAAACTTCAAAATAAAGGCTGAACATCCTCCAGCACACAGACAAAAAAAAAGAAAAGAAAAAGAAAAGAAAAAAGAAAAGATTGAGAAAGCCACAATGCGTGGTGTGTTTGGCGGTCCATAGCAACCATAACAACCAATATCGATTGAGGGAAAAGTGATTTTCAGACAGCGGTAAAAGGCAGAGAGAACCCATCAATAGGCTCGCCTGTAGGCTTCTAAGCAAGCATAGCAGGTGAATTTCAGAGCCAGGGATTTTTTTAATTTTTCTTTTTATTCAGCACACTTCCCCAATATATGGTCCGCATGGGATTCGAACCAGGGTCTGTCACGTTCCCATGAGCCACTTGGGTGGCCCTGTAACACAGCGCAAAAGGGGTATATTTAAAGTGCACACCCGTGCACAGCCACACTTGCAGTAACGGAAATGTAACGGAGTTAGAAGTTAGCAGAGAGTTAGCTCACTAGTTTCCATCTAAATATATTATACCAGGTTCTGACTGAGGGATTTCTAAAACAAATTAAAAGGCACAGCTCTGCTATCACTTCCGACATACATGAAGACAGGAAAGTAAGCAGCAGTGATGTTTGTAGGGTTACTGAAGTTTGGCTAGCTGGTATATAGTGATGTGCTATGTGACTAGCGAAACAGCTATGTTAGCATAACATTAACACCGAAGGGGAACTTTGAAGTAATGAGAAGCTTTGAAGTAAGGATAATGAAACTTTGAGAAAAAGACAGTACTGAGATAAAAGTAACATGACATGTTATGAGGAAATAGGAGAGAAAAGAGACCAATGTGTGATTAAAGAATAAGAGAATATAAGACTTATTGGTCAGTTTGTGGTTCAATAAGTGTTTGGTCACGAAGTTGAAAAACTTCCTCCTTAGTAAAGACGTTTACTAAGATTTTACTCAGGTGGCGCTGCTGACATTTGTGGCCTCAGGAATAGCTATGATCAGAAGATCATTTTGAGATACACTTGTTTGTGAGTAAAAAGAGTAATTTCGGACGAGGAAGTCCGACAGAAAACGCCTGGTGCGGTCAGGATGTTTAAGTGACACAGAATTTAAGAAAATCAAGTCAGAAATGGTTTTGAAGAAAAATCAGTGTTTATTGTGCTGAAGTAACAGATCCGGTGCGGTCTGAAGGGAAGAATCAGCTTTAGAATTCTGAGTGTGCTGCGTTGTTGATATTAACAGATCCGGCGTGGTCTGAGGAAAAGAAATAAATCGGTGTATGAAAGAATGAAAAAAGAAAAAGAAAAGCTAAGAAACTGTAAAATGCTAAAACAAAAGATTGTCAAATGAAATAAAGCTATATCAGCAAAAAGAAAAAAGAAAAACACAGAAACGAAAATGCTTCTAAAGCATGAATTATGAGATTTTGGCGATATACTTAGAACAACAATAGAGGCGCAATGTCTGTTACCAAAAGTATGAAGTAAGCTTACCAACCAAAGTGCTGTTTTAATCCAGATATTAAAAATGCAGAATTATATTTTCTTTATATTTTCCTCCATTACATAAAAAGTCAGTGGTATGATTCAAGTTTGTATAATGTATAATAGTATTAATCCAAACTATTTTTCTTCTGACTTTGCATCCCTTCTTGCCTTCAGTGTGTTGAGAGCAGAGAAATGATTTCCATAGAGAGGAGGCTTTGCATCATCAGCTGATCCTCCAGAGAACTGAGAAGGTTTATAGTCCTGTGACTTCAACACTGCAGGACTCACATCTGTCAGTCAACACAGCAGAAAGCACAACCACCATGACTCTCATCACCATCCTCATCTGGACGCTGACCTGCTGCTGTTTTACAGGTTCATTCACTCAGCAACATTTCAAACATGATGTGCTGCTTTTTCTCTCATTGATTTCTGCTGATAAATGAATGATTTGTTTTTGTCTGTAGGATGCAGCGGTCAGGTGACTGTGACTCAACCTCCAGCAGTGACATTTACTCCTGGATCTACTGTCACCCTGACCTGTAGGACCAACCAAGCTGTTGGTGGCTGTGGTGCTGGTCAGTGTATGTTCTGGTATCAACAGAAATCTGGACAAACTCCAAAGCTCCTAATTCGACATGTGAGCATAAGACATTCAGGAACACCAACTCGATTTAGTGGCAGTGGAAGCAGCTCTGACTTCTCTATGACCATCAGTGGAGTTCAGGCTGAAGATGCAGCAGTTTACTACTGTAAGAGTGTGCATAGCGGGCCAGTGTTCACACAGTGATTTGTAGTCATACAAAAACCTCCTTTAGTCAGACTGCAGAGACTCTGAGCTGTGACTGCAGCTGCTGAAGTAGGAGAGACTCTGACACAGACCAGTGAACACAGAGCAGACAGTAACCTCACCAAGCACTAAATAAAGCAATTAATTTAAACACGTCATGTCTATTGAGGCATTTCGAAATAAGAATTTTAAAAACATCTTCTGTGATCAAGTCATTTTCTGTTAACATTACATTACTTGAATAATTACATTACATTCACATGAAGAGTTTTGCTGTTTGTATAAACAGATGAAGCATAAATGTTTATATTTATATTTGTATTAAGCTACTTGGTAATGATAAAAAACAATCTGTTTTAAGATTTTTATCATTGTATGTTGCCACCTGTATAATGAATAAAAAACACTGATTTTCTCTTGATCATTGTCAAAATAATGAATCTACAGTTGGGATTTTTTTATTTCAACACATTTATATCTGAAAGACCAAAGATAATCTTATTCATCATTAAAAGCTGTATTTGCAGTAATAATCATACTATGACCATTTAACAACATCCATACCCACCAGCTAAGTTACATATCACCCTCTAAGTTGATGTTGCCAACTCTGTACAGCAGTGCTGTTTGTTCCAACCTTACAACTCATATTGCTAAGAGTAGCAGGTTGCTTATCTCACACTCAACTCCTGTCTTGACGGTTTATCATCACTGGGGGAGCAAAGAGCCCTGCTGGAGGTGAGAGCAGAGACAAATGAGGACTTTGTTAGTTCAGCTTAGAATAAACACTGAAAATTGATCTGAGGTTTGTCCACCTCTCTCCAAAACTTTCAAATTTCATTTGCATTTTTCTCATGGTTTTTTTTGTTACTTAAGTGCTTTTGTAGAAGAGCGGATTTGAAGGTATAAAATGTCTCTAATCTATTTCTGCTCATCTTTAAAATGCAGCATTGCTGAGTCACAGAGAGCTGCTTGGAGGAGGAGAGAGCAGAGACACATGAGGAGCCTGTTGTGTCAGTTTAGAGTAAAAACAGGAAACAAGTCAAACATTTGCCCATAACCACAGCAAGATTCATTAATAGTTCATTAATATTAAGATAGTTGTTCATGTTGCTGGAAGCCAGCAGGAGAAGTTTTTGACAAGTTGTGGTTCTCACAAAAATCACATGACTGACTATCATTACTGTCAACCTAATGTACGAAAGGAAAAATTCATGTGGTAGGTTAAAGGATCCTGAGGCTACATATGTTTAATTATTTTTATGTTATTCCAGCATCCTTTCTAAGTCTAATAGATAAAATGAACGATAATAAAATTAGATGAATAAATAAATAATTATTTTTATGTCTTACTACTCCTCAGATTTTAAGATTTTCTAATGGACTCACACAGAAAACCTCATTAGGATGATTTTTCCAATAACTCTGTCATGTTGGGTTTTCTGAGTTGCTGCAGATTATTACTGTCTGTGTTGGCATGATGGTGGAGTGTTCACACAGTAATTTATAGCTTTACAAAACACGTCGTTCACTTTGACTGAAGGCTGCAGGTGCAGATTGTTAATGAAGAGACTGATGAGAATAATTGGTCCACTAAAGACAACCAGAGTCATCAAGCAGAAACACAATGAATGAAAGAAATTAAATCAAGTCATGGATTTTAGATGCAGCATTTACTTGAATTTAAATATTTATGTAACTTATGTAAGTTTTTGTTCATGAATAAATTCAACAAACCAGGTAAAAAAATGTTTTCCAAATATGCAACTATTTTTCTAAAGTTGCAAAACCTGCACTTTATACAAAGGAATTGAAGGGAAATGAAAAGTGACCTCACAGTTCTACTTATGAGCCTTATTAATGTTCATCAATTTTCTTTTGTGAGCTGAATAAAAACCTTATTGTCTGCAAAGATGTTTTAAATAACATGAATGTAACACAATGTTAAAGTGAACGCAGTGAACTGTTGATTTATTTTGGTGTTAAGTTTTGGCAGACATCATCTATTAATATAGATTTATAAAAGTTCTGATACTTGAGACTAAATGTCTTGTTGCTGCAGTTATATTCTTGATAGATTTGTGTACATATAACCACTGATGAGTTTGGTTCCTCCACAAAAAGTCCACCACAGTGATTCAAAGTCATTAAGTGGCTGAACAAACACCTGCTGGACTCTGAAAAAGCATCTAACCACTTTTTTCGAATAAAGCTAACATTTTACAACCTCTGTGTAGAAAAAAAAAACAGGTTACTACCCAATCATTTTCATTTCTTTTCAAAATGTTTCTATACTAATTCTTAATATTTATTTAATATTTCTTTATGTTATAAAAATGACTTTGAATCCTGATAAAAATGCAAAATCATGGGTTAAAAATGAAAACAAGAGAACTACGAATGTATTAATATTTGTTGACAGAAAAACAGAAACTGTATGTGTGCCAACCAAAGTGCCATTTTAATTCAGATGAAAAAAAAAGGGATTTATTCATTCATTGTTCATTCAGGATCTTAAAAATGTGATAATAATAATGAAATAATACAAATGATGTAATAATAAGAATGATGTAATAATAATTAATGTAAATCTAAATAATATTGTCCTTCAGAGAAATAGTTTTGTAGTCCTGAAGATGGAGAAGTTTACTCCTGCAGAGCGACTGGGACTGTCTGTGGTCATGATGGTTGAACCTCCAACCACTTTCCCAGCTTAGCCTCAGAG